TCGACCTCTTTAGCGAGGCGCCCGTTGTCATCCTCCAAGCGTTCCCGGTCCTCACGGAAGTACTCCCTCTCCTCGACAATCTTCCCCGAGTTCTCTTTCTCCGCGGCCAGCAGCTCGGCTTGCTCGTGGAACATCTCCTCGGAGCGCTCCAGGGCAGCCTTTAACTTTCGTGAGCTCGCAGTAAGGGCAACTTTCTCCTATTCCAGCTCCTTGATGCGATCAGAATCTGCCCCCTCCTCGGCCAGCACAACGGCCATCTCGGCCATTTTGACCATCCCGACCATGTTGGCGGCCAGATGCTTTCTCTAATTCTCCTTGCTCAGCCGCCTAATGGTATCAGCTTCGTCAGCACTTACGGACAAGGGAAATCCCTCGAAGAAACCCTCCTCTTTAAAATAGGGGGGCAACCCGAAGGACCTCACCGCACTAGAGTCCTCGCCGACCTTCGGTTGGCTCTCCACCCGATTCCTCTTCCTTGGTATCAGGTCGGTATGTAGCTCGACATCCTGAGCGTCCGGGGACCCTCCAGAAGCATCGCCCGGGCTAGTTGGCGGGCCCATCCTCGTCGCCTGAGGAGCTCGCACCACTCTCTTATTAACCTTCTTATCCTGTGTCAGCTTCAGGAGCCTCTCCTTTCGTCCAGCCATGAGACCTGCATAAAAGAACCCCGAAGTAAGTGACGAGCAAATAAATAAGCGACGAAAATCAAACAAAACGAAAAAAGTAATGACCTAGCAGGTTCTTGGCCTGCCCGAAGGACTGGCACTCCACGAGCGCCTTCGTATCGATAGGTCGGGCCTCAAAGGTCGGATAACCATCTTCGTCAAGAATATCCTTTCCCTCCCTCGTGGCCCACCGGGCAGGGAAGAAACTATCGACGTATCTGCAGAGGGTACCATAGGCCTCCTCATCTTCGGTACTCATCCCGCCCGCGGGCGTATGGTAGTGCCCAGTCCCGTGCTCGTAGTGACGCGAGGTCCAATGCAAAGGAAATTTGGCCATACGCCCCAACACCGGGCGTCCCTCGTCGTCTAGAAGAGCCTCCCCGTAATCGTCGGTCACCACCGTTTCTTCCTCGTATACGGACCCTAGACCAGTTTTAGTAACCGGCCGCACGATGTACCATTTGTCCTTGAACCCCCGGACAGAGTCCATATACATCCTGAACAGTCTCTTCGACTGTTTCAGGGAAACCCAACTGTGCCTACCTCCCCGAGACTGGCGCTGTAAATGGAAGACTCTGAAGAAGAGAGGTATGGTCGCCCCAATCTTTAAAAAGCGACACGTCAGTTCGAACGCCCGGAGGAAAGCGATCGAGTTGGGGTAAAGCTGCGACGGGGCTAACTCCAGATGGCTAAAGACCCCGACCTGAAAATCACTGAAGGGGAGCTTTAGTCCAAGGTCCTTGAAAGCGATATCATACATGGGGAACCCGTACTCGGGGAACTCCGAGCAGATCCGCGCGGTAAGAGTCGGCCTGGTGACAACAAAGTTTTTCTGAAAGCCGGGCTGACTACTGCCTTGCTCAATGATAGTATATGCACTCTGACTGCACCGACTGTAAGCAGAGGAAATCCCTCTGGGCTCGGCGCCCACCCACTCCAGCAGAGGATCTTCGATGGTATCGACCAGATTCACATTCTCCTCGGCGCTTTGATCTTCCACCTCATTGCGCCCCGAGGAACACAGTTCATCCGCCATTGTTACCTGCAAAGCACAGGAAGCCGGTCAATTGGGGAGCAAATCCACACGCTCGCCATAGCTGACGGGAAGAAGGGCACGACCAACCGAGTCACACTCCACACACGATTAAAAAGTTGAAGTTTCAAACAAAAGAGTGGAGTCACCTCCCCGACGCCCAGATACCACGACAAGTCTTCCTACAGATCGCCTAAATGGGCCAACATCCCGGCCAGCCACGAATATGTCGACCTAGGCTATGAACATGGCGAGCGATATCATGAATCCTAAAACTAGAACTATGAATTTACCGGGCACTATCACGAATTAGGCGCCCTGAATCATGAAGATCCCGGGCAGCACTGCGAGTCAAATACCTAAACTATGCATTTACCGGGCACAAACATGCGTTTGCCGGGCATAAACATGGATTTGCCGAGCCAAAATACGAATCTACCAGGGCTAATCCCAGACGCACAGTCTCTAACGTACAAAACAATGGAAAATATCACACACCACAGAAGAAAAACATGAGGGATAAGACACTTACTTGAAATCAAGAAAGAGATACGGTGGCGGAGAAGAGAATCAGCGGCGAAGAGCACGGCGGTCCTATGAAAAACAGCAGCAGTAGAGACAGAGGAAGGAGGAGAAGCGCGAAGAGGAAAAACACATTTTGGGGCCCAAGGACCCTATTTATAGTGATGACGTGGAATACAAAACGTCACCCCGGGGAACCACGAACCTCCCTCCTCGACGCCTAGCTCCCCTAGGCAATGATGACCCTACCTTCGATAGGGTGGCAGCACGGTTCCCAAGGGATGCCTCGTGTGCTCAACGAACACAGCCCGTCGAGAGTCCCCCGAGCATTCCTCGAAAGGAATTATCTCACTAGCGCGACACAGGGGAAACTCCTCGAGTAACCACGGGGAACTAAATCTTTTGTCCGAGCACGGGACCTCGTGACGGAGGCGAGCTAAGATCAAGTCATGGCTCCTACTCTAGGAACCACGACTTGGGGGGCTCCTGTTCTGGACTGGGCCAGGCTGGCCCAAAAGCAAGGATGAAGGCCCAGTCCAAACGGCCTTGCAGGGGGTCGCGCCGACCAAGAAGCTACAGCCGTGTCCACGACATCCTCGACTTCATGCAGTCCAGCCCGACCTCAGCTCGAGCACTCCTCGTAGGGCAGACAATGACCATTACACCATCACCTGAATTCCGAAAAGACCGCGTCCCCGTCCATCCCTACTTCTCGCAGAACACCCAGGAAGAAGACCACGTGCGGGTCCTCACTACACACGTAGAACCTGGCAGTTCCTTCATTGGGCCAAACCTGCCCGACCCAATGAAGGAACTTTGGCCCAGCGCTGGGGGCTATAAATACCCTATGTTCCCAGAGAGTCAGGTATTCATTCTCTTATCAGACACACACTTTCTTGCCTGCTCGTACTGCCACTTACTTTAGCATCGGAGTGCCCTGCAGGTACCCCCCTCCCATCTCGTTCAACTTCAGCTCGGAGCCAGTCGTGACGGTCCAAGTCTGATCCGGTAAGATCAAATATTAATTGAAGTTATAGGATTATTGTTCATTTTACAATTAAGTAACTTATTTTAAATTTACATGTGTATTTATATACATTTTATATTGTATCAATTTGAATAATACTCCATAATCGTGTAAACAATTGATTTTTCATCTCAAGAATCACTATTAACATAATACATATTTAATACAATTGAATTTATATGATTAATATTTATTTTATAATTAAACAATTCATTTCAAATTTACATGTGTATTTAAATTTATTTTATAGGGTTAAATATGTCTTTGGTCCTTATAAAATTATCAAATTTTATTTTTGGTCTCTATAAAAAAATTGTATGTTTTGGTCCTTACAAAATTATTATGCATGTAATTTTAGTCTCTCCTGTTAAACTAATTTATATTTTTAAATAATTATTTTGCATACATATTTAGAATGTTATAAAAAATTTCTCGAAAAAAAAAAACTCAAAATTTGTTTTCTAAATCGAAGTTTTTATTACTTTTATCAATATCTTTTGAAATTTAAAAAATTCATATTTAATTCTTTTTATTTTAAAAAAATTCTAAAATTTAATAAAAAAATATTTTATAATATTTTAAACATGTATGAAAAAAATTATTTAAAAATTTTATAGTTTAAGAATAAATAAATACTTTTTTAATTTTTAAAAAATAACAGGATTAAAACTTTATGCATAAAAAATTTAAGAACTAATATATATATAAACCGACCTATTTAACTTTTGTTCTAATATGTATGTATATATAGGTCAGTTTATTTAACCTTTTTTTCTAATATACATGTATGTATAGGTCAATCTATTTAACATATTTTTAATATATATGAAAATATAAGTAAATTTATAAAATTTTATAAGTTTTTTTTAATAGTATAAATCTGATCTATTTAATTAAATAGATTAGGCTAGACTATAGATCCAATATGCCAGTCTAGATTATTACCACCCTTATTTATAATAATTCGATGTATTCAATTTACTTTCTCGGTACATACATAAAGATAAGATGATGTAGCCTGTAACAGTAACAGTACAAGTAAGGAAGAACCGTCCGTGATTGTTCAAAGTCAAAGTTGTAGACATTTTTCCATGCAATACAGAGCTGCATTATAATAATTAGAACGTTAATTGGGGTCTTTAATTTATGATAAATTGCGTTGTAAGACCCTCCTGTAAAGAATAGCTACTGGGAGGTCAACATCTGAGGCAAACCTCACCTAAATAAAATGCAGTACTGACAAGAGCCAACTTTTGTTGCATAGCAAGAACAAGCCCTAAATTTCATCGTATATACGGAATGGAATGCGGTGCCAACATTTAATGAAGTTTACCCCATAATTGGAATCAAATACAAAGAGAAACCAACAACTTCAATTCCACTTTTTAATTATTGGTCTTAACTCTCACACAGACATTTATTTGATCTTCATCATCATGTAACCAATGCATATATATTGATTGACACATACATGAGGGAAAATGAAAGTTGTCAACAAATTGCAGATTAATAATGTATAATTCAGAAAGGAAATAATTAATATAAATAAAACAGTACAAAAATAATTAGAAAGAACAACATGTTCGAGTTATTATTACTTCACATATACACGCGCACTTTGCTTCTTGATGAAGGGCATATTGGTACTTTCACGAAATCTTCTCTACTCTAGCACTACTCCTGAGAATTTTAAGATCTGCAAATCTGCGCCGTTATTCCAGACCTTTCCATTTTAGGTTTCACTTTTTTGCCATCAAAGCAACAAAAGCAAGAAGGATGAGAGAACAACTGGATTCAAGAGAGAGCGAGACGACGATGGAGGCGCGGCGGAGGGTGGCGGAGGACTGTAGTAGTAAAAAGGAAAATAAGGAACTATCGGATTAGGAGGCGGCGGTGCTGGACCGTAGTATCTGTTGCTAGGAGGAGGGTAATAATAGTAAGCTCCTCCACCTCCGCCGCCGCTGCTGGATGACGGAGGTGGTGGAGGTGGAGAGTAATAGTACGATGAACCTCCACTTCCACTACCACCAGTTGGAGGGGGAGGGCAGTTGTTTGTGGATGAAGGTGGCGGTGGAGACGGAACCTGGTTACATGGATTATCACAAGAAGCACACATTGTGCACTGGATCTGTCCCTTGGAGGTGGTTTTGAGGTGGTGATCTACTGCATCGGTTGTTGCTAAATGAAGATACACATTGGTGAGTATTAACATCGCTCTTATGAAAAGTGTTATTGTTTTCATACTTGATTTCGAAGCTAGAAAACCAATGAGAGATTAGAGTGTGGTAAGGGAAAGTGTGGAGTTTGAAGTGTTTGGAGAAAAGAAAAAGAAAGTGGGGTGAATGAGTGTAAGAGGAGAAAGGTTGGGTTATGACTAGGACTCTTTCTTTTCTAAGCTAAGCTACACTACCTTTTTTATTCATGCGACTTTATTTTCGTACAGTTATTTCTTTCATTAATTTAAACAATCAGAAACAAAATGGTAAACATATAGGGTGGGTTTGTTTCACATATACAAGTGGAATTTTTGGGAATATCAGGTTAGGAATTTCATATTCTGATATTTATTCGAAGATTTAAAAAATTATTTTTAATAATTTTTTATTTTTTAGAATATAATTTATTTATGAAATTTTAAAAATTTATTCCTACATTTCCGAATGATGACTCAAAACACTTGTTTTCTTCTATTGAGGGAGATGCAAAATATCAACATAACCGAACATTCTAGAGTTCGGAAAATCAAACAGATACTTAAACACAACTAAAAACAGAGTAGAAGACAAAAAATTAGAAATGGTATTCAACCAACCAACCACTGCAGCCCTCACACTGGACCATAGGATCGTCTGGGTTGCAAGGCATCTCACATGTACAATACCTGCCATAGGATTCTATTTCTTAAAAAAATAGTCTTCAAATCTATGTTCCAGGACCGGAACACTTTCCATTCTTCAACCCATTAAAAAAATTAAATTCTATTTTACAATAATAACATAAGTTTTAACCAAAATTTTCAAACATCAATAAAATAAAACAGGTACCATTCATTAATGAAACAGGAAGATTCCATAAATATATTTTCTTAGAATTTTTAAAATATATTTTTGAAATAAATTTTATTGTTATACAAAGTAAATTTCAAAAACGAATAAATTATGTGTGTGAATGCGTATTAGAAATATATTTTTTATTTTTAATAATATTTTAAAAAAAATTTATGGTATGCAAAAAAAACATAGGATAGAAAAAAATCCTCATAATTTTTATATAATCCTTTTTATAATAATTTAATAGTTAGAATTTCACTTGAACTAGTAAGATATTGTAAATTTGAATCTGGAATTTTGCAATTGGATGTGTTTATTTTGTAGTTAAATTTTCTAAAAATGTTGTATATTAATATTAGTTTTTAATTTTTACAATAAATAAATTATTAGGGATAATGTTTGAGAAAAAATAATAAATATATTTAAAATGTTGCATAAATGTTTAAATTTAAGGGAAATTTTTTTATAAACAGAATTTATAATTAGAGACCGATGTATATAAATATGAGCATCCATTGTATTTTTCACTCTAATTAAAAGAATCGGTTGTGTAGTTATTATGTCCATTAAAGTATCAATTGAAGATCCTTAGTAAAATTAACTAAAATTTTATTTAAGAAATAAATATATAATGTGTCTAATAATTTACAAATGACGTGAATGGGATAGTTCAATTAATATGTGTTAATTAAGTAAGATGGATGTAAATTCTTTAATAAAAACTTAATTCTTAATTATAAGTAAAAAAGGTGATAATATTTTATTCAAATATTCTTATATATTGATGTATACATAAACAATGTTTTAAAAATCACATTGGTCATTAAATTAGTGAAGATATTGGGTTACTGATTTATTAATCGATTCATTGATCAAACTACATGACTAAATCAAATTAAATAGGATAATTCGATTGAATAAATTGGTCTCTATAATTAAACTATATATTTATTAAATTAGTCGAACCGGATGACTCGACCTCTAAAAAATATCACGACACTTACAAAATTTTAAAATATCATTATTTCACACGTTTATTCTTTAAATTTAAGTTCTAAATATCATCATTACTCACAACAAAATAATATAAAATATAAATTTAAATAAATTTTAAACAATGTCTAATTGCAAACAAGGAAAAATTATTTCAAATAAGTTTTGAATAAAGTCTAATTATATTTTATTTTTATTTTTAAAAATTATGAAAACGACATTGTTTTGTCGAGGAAAAAAATATGTATTTGAACTGTCGGTTTTTATCGATTTTGACCGGTTCAATAACATATCTGGTCCAACAATCAGACCAAACCAAAAACTCCTCTGATTCACGGTTCAACCGGTCCAACCGACTCGTTCGATCTGATTTAAAACACTGATCACAAGTTCCATAAATAGGGTTGACCAAATTAATTTGGAGGCTCCATTTTAATTATAAAAATGGACTTAAACTTTATTAAAAAAATACAATTATAATATTTAAAAAAGACACATTAAAATTATAATTATATATTAATTAAAAATATATTTAGTTATAATTTATTTTGACAATTTAATATGTTGAAAGTGTAATTCCTTGTGTCAAAGTAAGTTGTTTCTCAAAACAAGATGTGTCGAAATAAGCTTAGTTTGTCGAAGTATGTCGAGTTGTGTTAGGTATGTCGAAACAATAGTTACACACATATTTGATTTAGATTTGATTTAGTTCCGAAATAGGAATTTTGGACTTTTATATTTTTAAACTTTTTGGCTTAGGGAGAAAGCAAGCTCAATTATAAATAGAGGAAGTAACCCATATTTTGTAATCAATTCATTCATTCACAATATTTGTAGTTGCAAGTGAATAAGAAAGTTTTCCACAGTTTGTGGGCAGAGAGAAACTCTGTAGAAACCCTGAATCTTTTTTCTTATTTAATCTTCTTTTCTTTTCATTGTCATTGTATGGTGATAACAATCTTGTTCATTAAGATTGATAGAAATTCATCATAGGCTATCTGATATCAAAAGCTCTGGTTGAGCGATCAATGGAAGAAGAAGAAGAGAATCTTGATGGCTATAAATCATCCAAACAAGCATTTTTCAATAAGTCTTCCAATTCTTAAAGCTGGTGACTACGAGAATTGGTGCAAGTAGATGAAGGTTGTGTTTTGTTGTCAAGATCTTTGAGATATTGTGAAATATGGATTAGAATCGCTTGAAGAAGATGCTTCAGAAGAAGAATAGGAGAAATACAAAGAATCAAAGAAGAAGAATTATAAAGCTCTCTTTATAATTCATCAATGTCCGAGTCCAAATAATTTCGAAAAGGTTAGTGATGTAGAATCTCCAAAAGAAGCCTAGGAGGTTCTTAAAAAATCTTTTGGAGGTGTAGAAAAGGTGAAAGAGGTGAGGTTACAAACTCACAAAAGAACGTATGAATTACTTAAGATGAAAGATAGTGATAGTGTGATACGGTGGGAGAACTGACTTGGGTCGTTTGCATTTGATCGCAATTGTGCGGTTAGCAAGAACCGCCACCGGCTTTTCTTTTATCCAAAAGGAAAGGTAAAAAAGCACAGGAAAGACCTTTCGAGATTATTTCTCGAGTTTGAATGATAAATTATGAAAAGGGAAGGTGTTAGCATCCTTTCGATCTATGATTTTTCACGGGCTCTTAGTTACTCGCTAGATCACTTGATTTTGTTTGAATGTGCTTGTGGTGTGGTTTTTGAAAGTTATTTTGAAAATGTCTTCGCAATGGTTCTCGTCTCTATAAGAAAGCATACAAAGTGTTGTTTCGAAAAATAGTCCAAAGAGGTGTTTGTGTATTGTGTTTTTTTAGGGTGATTTTGAAAAGATATTTTTGTAATGGTTCTCGTCTCTATAAGAACGTATACAAAAAGTTTTTGTCTTTTGAAAAAGGTTTTAATGTGAAAGTATTGGTGTAAAATGTTTGGTTGTGAGCAAGCGAGCGATTAAGAGCGAATCTACCTACTCGAAAGGTCTTAAATATTCTTTTCCTCCTTTAGATGTTGTTATCTTACCACTAATTTGGTAAGAAGCCCCATCGTTGGATGTGAAGGGACAGGCGTGGGACGTTTGTACAGTCATAGAAGGCAACTTATGAGACACTTTAGCAATTTTCATAAGGGACTAGATCGTTTTATCGAAGGCAACATCGAGGGACGTCGAGGGACTATGATCTTTTTTATTGAAGGGTCTTTGCTAAAGTGTCCCATATTCGAGGGACATGACTGTATTTCCGAGGCAACGAGCGAGGTTACCCTAGAGGTGCGCGTGTGAAAAAGTGTATTTGATTCAAGTTATTTTGTTCTTTGATTAGGTTATCTAGCGATTGATTTTTGAATCTTGCCATGCACGCCTAATTACTATACAGTATAAGGAAAACAGTAAATTGCTGAAATTGAAATTCTACGCTATTACAGAGTTTTCGGGAATGGGGGTACAAATTCACAAATGGGGATGAGTCGAATGCGATTAAAAGTCCAAATAGGCAATCAATACAACCAAATCGAATCGAACAATTAATTAAAATTGTAACAGTCTATGAAATAAAATGAATTGACAAAGTTTAGAAAATCTTGGTATTTTTTTTTAAAAAGAGTTTTAAAAGAAAAATAGAAAAAATCTATTATGTTAATTATCTAAAGAATTAAATCAAATGCATGTATTTTTTTGTCTTTTAGGGTTTTTGTTATTTAGAAATTAAATGAACAAATTAAAGCTTAAGCACAAAATAATTAATAAAATTATTTACAAAGTCCTAAACTAAATTATAACTAAGCTAAATTGTGAAAATTAATTAACAAAAGTTATGATTTGTTAAATTAATAAAATCAAAACTAAGTATAAAATCAAAACAAGAAAAAGAAGAGAAAAAATGGAATGAGGTGTTGAAGTGAAAAATGGGGGTGATGCTGATTGGGCTTTAAAAACAAGGGCATAAGGCCCCCATGATCTTTTTTTGTTTAAAACAGAAAGTAAAAAAAGGATAAGCTTCTTGGGCTATTACTGGATCGGGTTAGAGGCCCAGGGGAGGAATGTGCAAGGGGTTTGAAACAAATGGACCCTAATTATTTGGGAATGGCTACGACTAGCTTCATCTCCTTCTTCATCGTCGCCTCTCTCAGTAATCTCAATCGACATCACAATAACCCTCTTTCTCTCTTATTTTCTCCGATCTGAAACCGATCGA